ATCGTGATCTGGTTGAAGTCGGACGCTTAACCGACTGCGCCACCCAGGCGCCCCATTATTCAGTCTTAAAAAGGAAGAAAATCCCATCACACACTACAACATGGATGAACCTGGAGGACATTCTGCCAAGTGAAATAAGCCAGTCACAAAAAAGATCATTACTGGATGATTCCACTTATGTGAGTTATTTAAATAGTCAAATACACATAAACAGAAAGGAGAATACTGGTTTTCAGGGCCTAGGGATAGGGGGAAAGGGGAGCATTGTTTAATGGGTTTCAGAGTTTCAGAGTTTAATGGGTTTACAGAGTTTCAGATATGCAAGATGAAAAAGTTCCAGAGATTTGTTTGCCCAATAATGTGAATACACTTAACACTACTGAACTATGCCCTTAACATAAAAATGGTTAAGATACTAAATTTTAAGGGTATTTTTTACTGCAATAGAAAAAGAGAAAACCAAGGGCGTCTGGGTGGCTCAGTTGGTTGGGCGTCCAACTTCAGCTCAGGTCATGATCTCATGAGTTCCAGCCCCACACCCAGCTCGCTGCTGTCAGTGCAGAGCCCACTTCAGATCTTCTGTCTGTCTCTCTCTCTCTCTCAAATGTTTTTTTTTTTTTTTTTAATCTTGATACGGATTCCTTCTTCATTAAAAAAAAAGCAAGAGAAAACCTAATGCTATAATATAATGAATGCTGAGAATTTTGCATTCTGAAAAATAGTTTGAATCGAAAATAAAACATCTGGCCTTCAGGCCAAATTTTGCTGACCCTTGGCCTAAACACATTTCAACTCCCCCTATAGGCACCCTGTCCTGTCTTCATGTATTTTTCCTTGAAGCTATGTATGTACGTATGTATATATGTTTATTTTTGAGAGAGAGAAAGAGAGCGCGAGCAGGGAAGGGACAGAGAAAGAGGGAGACACAGAATCCAAAGCAGGCTCCAGGTCCGAGCTGTCAGCACAGAGCTCGAGGCAGGGCTCGAACCCACGAACCGTGAGATCATGACCTGAGCTCAAGTAGGACGCTTAAGTGACTGAGCCACCCAGGTGCCCCTCAAAGCTTTTTTAAATAAAATCTTCAAATATTATAATGCAAGTGGCCTTACAGCCTCAGAGTAGGGAGTCTGGGGAGGTAAGATGGGTAGTTTCCAAGAACAAAGAGTTCATGGCAGAGTGTCCGTTAGAATTTAGTTACCCAACGTCTTTCTTGCTATTCGGAGTTATCTATGGATTTTTTTTTTTTTTAATGTTTTGAGAGAGAGTGCAAGTAGGGGAGGGGCAGAGGGAGGGGGACAGAGGACCCATAGCAGGCGCTGCGTTGACAGCCTGATGTGGAGTTTGAACTCACGAACTGTGAGATCATGGCCTGAGCCAAAGTCAGAGGCTCAACCAATTGAGCCCCCAGGTGCCCTGAGTATCTATAGGTTCTTAATGATCATGAAAACAGTCTTTAGTTTGACTGGAGGTGAACGCAGGTGTTAACGATTCCACAGGTGCTGCTATAAATATGTACTGAATTAAAGTCTTCTAGTAACTAGTTCTTTAGTGCTCCGAGCATTTAGGCCTGGAGCAAGGAGGCCCCACTTAAAAAAAAAAAAAAATTTTTTTTTAATGTTTATTTTTGAGAGCGAGAAAGACAAAGTGTAAGCAGGGGAAGGGCAGAGAGAGAAGGAGACACAGAATCCGAAGCAGGCTCCAGACTCTGAGCTGTCAGCACAGAGCCTGACATGGAGCTCAAACTCACAAACCAAGATATCATGACCTGAGCCGAAGTCACCCTCAACCAACTGAGCCACCCAGGAGCCGGAAGGAGGCCTCACTTTAAAGATGAAAGAGCTATTATGCTGGAATTGTTTTATATGTGACTTTTCCAAAGTAAGTAGCACCTAACGTTTTGTGAAGTATTAAAATAATTAGTAGCAGTCTCCAGAAAAGTTATATTGGCCATTAGCCATGCATAGAGAACTGTTTCCTAATTTTCTTTTTTTTACAGCTTTAATTAACATTTAAAAATTAAGTAATTTTTTTAAAGACTTTATTTTCAAGTAATCTCTCCAACCAATGAAGGGCTAGAAACTACAACACAGAAATCAAGAGTCGCATGCTCTACTGGCTGAGCCAGCCAGGTGCCTCTAAAAATTAAGTAATGTTAAAAATCAAAATTCAACTGAGTAGATTTTAAAGATCTTATTGGCTTTATTCAGTGAATCATGAACCGGGCAGCATCACATCTAGCAGATAGAAAGGACTTCTGAGGGGCTGTACAAAATGAAAGGCTTTTATGGGCAGGAGGTGTTGTTAAAATCTGACTTCTGTGCTCTGGAGCTGAAATATAACTCGAAGACAGAGTTTGGGGATAAGGAGCACCAATGGTTTTATTACTTTGCCAGGCAAAGGAGGCTGCTGTAGGCTAAAGCCTTCAACACCGCAGACCCACCTGGGGTAAAAGACTGAGGGGTTTCAAAGTGAAATATAGCATCTAGATGGTTAACGTAGGTATCTGGTATGAGCCTCCAGCCATGCTCATTGTATTCTAGCTAGCATCAAACCAGCACTGGCCACCGGAGCCACTCCTTACTAAGTGTACCTCGAGGTTAGCAAGATGTCAACACCTTTACTGAGTTCCTGGAACAAAGGATTCTACAGAAAAACAAGTGAAGGGGAGGGAGAGAGTTCAAGAATAAGGAAGAGAAAAACACGTACAGTTTAAAGTCAAGCCTTGCTGAAGCATTAGTGTGACCGTCTTAATTTCCATTCGTCTTTATGTGTCTGTAGGGGTTTCAAAGAAGTTACACAAAAAGTGGATCGGTGTGTCAAGGTCCCTTTCCTTTAGGTGATGGCAGGTTCTGTTAAGGTGGATGATCTTAATAGTGCTGACCAGGTGATTCCTGGTTGGTTTAAGATCCCATTTCTGAGAGGCAAAAAAACAAATTCTCAGTTTGGCTATGTGAAGCTTAGCATGAGTGACTCCATCTGGGGCCTGATGTCTTGTTGTTAACAGTAACAATTTAGAAGACAAATAGTTATCATTATGTGCAAAGTGCCTGACTTCCTAGGGGCGGCATAAGAGGGAAGGACAAATAAAACTCGTTCAGCAAGTCAAGATCTAAAATTAAGCCATGAGTTAAAATGCAGAGGGTGCAGTGTTCATTTTGCCCTATCCCAGGAAGCAGGGCTAACGAGAAATTTTGCCTGGAGTAATATAAATTGTTACACTAATCAGCTTCTTTTCATGGTCTAGAAAAAAATCCAACCATTAAGCTTTAGAAGTTGAGCTGACAGAGACTGCAACACAATCCATAAAGTTTATGTAGTATTCCAGGAGTTAAGCAAGCATTAACACTACTCCTTAATTAATACAGCTTCAATTACCATTTCAATGTTGTGGTAAAAGACTGTTTGTTCCTCTTAGATTCCATTGATTTACAGAGAGGTGCTTACCTGTCCTCAAGGAAAAACACCTTGTGAACATTTGTCTCTTCATAGTATCTGTAAGTATATGTAGAGAAGAGTTAGCAAGTCAATGTTTCCAATTGCTTCTTAAGCATGGTAAGCAAATGCAGCACATGAGCCTAGACAGTATCCTACTTCAGAGGCGGGGGCTGGGGGGGGTGGTGGGGGGAAGGGGTTTATAAAGACATTCTTGGGACAATCCTAGAAACTTGAATATGGACTGAATATTGAATGGCATCAAGGAATTGTTTTCTCAGGTGTGCTAATGGTATTCTAATTCTGGAGCAAATGTCCTTACCCTTAGCAGAGGAAGGCTGAAGTATTTAGGGGTGACAAGTTTTGATGTCTGCAACTTATTCAAATGGGTATAACAAAAAGGCATATCTATTTTCTGTATATTTGGACATCTTCATAAAAAGTGAGGGGAACAACAAGCTTCTTTTTACATTCCTTAGCCAGAAGCACTGTGAAGAACCTCGGAGCGTAACTTTAACTCACAATTTTGGTTTGTAGCTCTGTTCCTTTCCTTTCGCACCTCAGGTACCAGCTTCTGAGTGCTGTCTGAGCTCCACCCAGGCACAACCAGCTGTAAATCACACTTCAGGCAGTAACATTTGGGAACTGTGCAAGCTCGGTTGAGGGAATAAAAGTCCACACTGACATTATCCGTGTATTCCTACAGCATTACAGGTCCACTTTCACTTGCAAATAGTAATTTGGTTTGCATTTTCCAGCAGTCCTATCTGCATTTGGGCCCTGTGTGGCGTTTCTTCCCCAACAGGACATGCCACCCCACCCCACCCCTCAAGTCCCGGAGGACCATGGACACAAACAGAAGACTCTGAATGAAGCAATCTTTTTGCCCAACCACCTGCTGTTGAATTGTTTCAACCTGATTTCAACCTGTTTATAAATTACTTCTTGAAACAGCTAATATCATCCTGCAGTTTAAATAGAAAATCCTGGGAGAAACTCAGAATCACAGTTTCATGCTCTTTAGTCATCATCTTGAGAGTGTAAAAAAAAAAAAAAAAAAAAAAA